TATCTCGCGTTACTTGTAATGCGTTACCCCAACACTGTATATATATATATATATATATATATATATAAAAGAAGAAACCATATGACTATACAACTTAATAACTTTAATTTATTTAAAATCTCATTCGTTCTGTTTTTGATTCTTAGAGAATTTGTCTGAACCTATTACGTTTCATTCCACATTAAAGGAAGAATACACATAAAGAAAATCATTTTATGCATCCTTGTGTTGTTTCAAAGAATTTTAAGGTTATATCGCACCATAAAAAAAAAAATCACAAAAATGATTCTTCAAAAACTCTTCTGACATGTTTCACAAACAAACGGTGGGGGTAAACAAAGGCACATCAGTTTTGTTTTTGGGGTGAACTATCCCTCTACACAGAAATTCCGTTAGCATGTCTTTAATATATCTTGCATGTTGTCATATATGATAAATCACATGATGCTCTATCACACACAGTCTCTGATCAGGGCTAGTGGCACACGAGCTATTTCAGCACTTAAACTCAGCTGAATGTAGGCTAATCGCGTTGCCCGTGGAAACCCGTGATAATCTGTTATTTGATTATGAAACTGCAGGGATCATGAGAAAGTAGGTGAGGGGTCGCGTGCACTGCTGTGCAATATAACACACACTACACCGTGTTTACTACATGACTGTTACATCTTTACTCACCGTTTGAAGGTAAATTCTGGATCACTCTGACAGCACACACACACACACACACACACACACACACACACACAGTCTCTGATCAGGGCTAGTGGCACACGAGCTATTTCAGCACTTAAACTCAGCTGAATGTAGGCTAATCGCGTTGCCCGTGGAAACCCGTGATAATCTGTTATTTGATTATGAAACTGACGAACCGTTTAAAAGAAACAATTCTCTGATTCTTTTGCGTCAGTACGTAATGGCGTCATCGTGCGTCCCTGGCATCCTGGGGTTGCATTACATATTCAAATGAAGCCACATTTTTTTGTGTATTGGTATTTTCTCGATTAAGTTAGAGGTAAAACGGTTGTATAGTTACCATTTAACTCTTTGCTTCAACTCTCACAAGAATCTAAATGCAATATTTAACTACTAATATGAATGTACATCTCACGGTTTTGCAGCTTTTGATATTAGGCTATTTTTATTATAAACAACTCGTAATAAAACTGTCAACACATGTCCTGTATGTCATATTCCTGCTACTAGGTTCACTCCAAAAACGTGTACTAAGTCCTACGTAGATAATCCGGCTCAATGCGAGTTGCGGATTTCTCGGTTCAATGATTCAGTGAGTCGTTCACTCGCGGACAGCTATACCCGATTCAGTCCCACATACGAATCGTTCAGACCGGTTATGTGAACCGGTTCGATTTATTCATTACAAAGATTCGACTCAAATGAACGATTCCGACATCTCTGCGGCTGAGCTTGAGCTCTCAATCAAATCCCAGAGACGAGTAGGAAGCTCCGTGGAGACATGTAAGATGGCAGAGCTGCAGATGTTACTAGAGGAAGAAATTCCAGCCGGTAAACGAGCTCTCGTGGAGAGTTACCAGAACCTTACGAGGGTCGCGGACTACTGTGAGAATAATTATGTTCAGGTAAGTTAAGCGCCCGCGTGTTTCTGTGTCGCGCGCTGATCTCCAGCACTGCTGTGGGGTCGGACGGGATATATGGTTGGAAAATGGAAAAGCAGGGATGAAGATCATTTTGAGCGCATAAAGAGCGGTCTTTTGAAAAGCCTGATCTTCTTGAAGTGGTTTGTTGATGAGATGTGTGATCGTTACGGAATTAGTGTCGTTTACATTGAGGGTGTGTCTGGATACTGTTTAACTTGCACATATGAAGTTTTGCTGAGATCCACCTCAGACTTCAGAAAGGAGGATGTGAGAGTCTGGTCTTCAGAACGATACATTTCTCACTGTCTTGACGAAACGCGTTCAGTTTTCTTAAGCTTGAAGAGAGAACTGAATTGTGTCATATGGGAACATGAGAGAGAAAAGAGTTGAGCTAAAGTCATGTTTTAAAGGGGTGGCTATTATGCGTTTTCACTTTTTCAACATTAGTTAGTCTGTAATGTTGCTGTTTGAGCATAAAAAAAGATCTGCAAAGTTACAAAGCTCAAAGTCCAATTCAAAAGGAGATATTTTATTTAACAGAAATCACTTTTCAAAAACTACAACCAACGACTCGTTTGGACTACAACGCATATTTTCCGGGATTTGTGACATCACAAATATCGACGAATGGGACGAGACCTGGTTGAGCTGCACTAGAGAAGGCAACGAGTGTTATCACTATGTCGGAGACACGCTAGCTTTCCCAAAGCAGATGAACTTAGAGTGGTTACAATCATCCGGGTTTAAATCGCACTCAAATTGATTTGATATTGATGCAATATTTACACTGAAGCTCGCAGACGGCTATGGTAAGGGACATGACAATCACAACACGCACTGGCCCAGCTAACCGATCACAACACGCACTGGCCCAGTA